CTAACACTTACAGTGAAAAAACTAGGGTTTGCATTGTATGTGTATAAAGAGCTGTAGTTATATTGATGGGCTGGCTTACAGAGCTTGATACAGAGAGCTAATCTCTGTATTCATCATTCAGAGGCTGGCAGTGTCGTGTGTCTCCCTGTGCTGCTGCATTGTGAGCTCTGACTGTAGTTATGGCAAACTAAATTAATTTGCAATGAATAAATTAAATATTTAAATATGTGTACAGATGATTGATGGGTATGGTTGCATAGCCTGGCAGTCATGTGCATATAAGTGCAGGTGTGTGTGTGTGTATATATATATATATATATATATATATATATATATATATATCCACTTTACGTTTGCATTGTCCAAATCATACCACCTTCACATTGCAGCCATAGACACGCACATGCATACACACACTGATGCACATGGACACACACATTGATACGCAGTCACAGTGCAAGAGTATGTGTCTGACAGAGAGTATCCTCGTGTGTTATGTATGTCTCTGTTAGCATGTATATGTTTGTTTCTGGGAACCTATGTGTGTGGGGTAGCTGTTTGTGTTGTGTGTATGGGGGGGGGGGCTGCCTGTGGCTTTTGTGCATTGTATTTATGTCAAAGCTTTGTTTCATGACTGTGTGTATGTTAAATATCTTCAGGGGGTGACTGTGACAGGGTGATTTAAGCAGTAACTGTGGCAGGGTGAGTGTCAAGATGAGGGTAAACACTTAGTTTGGGGGTAAAAAGCAGCACCTCCCAAATGAGTGCACCCCTAATGAGTGACACCTGGGGCGGTCCTCATGCAACTGATCATTAGTAAGACTGTGTTGTATTGTCTTAAGAAGGGATGATTATTTTTCATTACAGTTCATCTAGGTATGTCATCTCACCTTCCACTAACCTTTCTCTTCCATCTTGTTCCTCAGGGTGTCTTCAACGCTTACATTAAATGCCATTATTTAGGGCATTTTGTTTAATAGGTCTGTGCTCTGTGACTGTTACATAGTTTTTTTGTGAGTAGAGATATGAAATACATTCTTGTTTTATTGTGCAAGGCTAGACCTTTGTGCTTTATCTTTCCATTGCAATCACTTAACCCTCTCATTATTCAACAAATATGTATCCAATTTGAATCCATTTATAAATTACTCATTAGACAAGTCATCAGTTTTTCAAAGGGCTTCTATGTATGTTAGCTGCTTCAGCCTTTACTTAATATGCTCTAATCGAGAAAAAAAATCACTACATCTGCAATTTCTGGCTGGCTGCATGCCAATGAACCCTTACTGAGCCTGTTTAATGCATAAAGCAAGTGTTTGTCACTTAGTAAAGCTTTTGGTGTTCAGCTGAATACATTTATACTGCAATAAAATTATGTAAAACTTGTTTGGGAAAAAAATAAAACTATTGTGAAATGATGCTCCCAAGGACATTGCTTTTAAACTCTAAAATAACCTCAATGCGGTCACTAGACTGCATTAAGTTGAAACTATTGTGGAATTTATTGACCCGACCTGGGAATTTTTGGGAAAATTACACATTAATTGCAATTTTATATCCAAAACTAGAGCTAGAAAAATAACCGACTTAGAGATTTTCTTACCGTCTGCGTGTTTTGGCCTAAAACGTGTATTTGAGTTACCCCCATTAGCAAAATACATTATAATGTGCATTTGACTAATGGCTATGACTATATTTTTTTTATTTTTTTTTTAGTATATTTTGGCCTCACCTCCCAGAAGCTAAAATACTGAATTTCTCCATTTTACATTTCCCAGCAACTTTCAGCAAGCTCCAGGTACTGATTAAATCTTTGAAGATACAATTTTAACATTTGTTACTATAGCATCGTTACCATTTATACCTGTAGTTTGCCACTGTTAATTTTCTGTGCATGCCTTTTTTTATTGTAATTTAATGTATTAAACCAATATTTTATGTAAACAGTTATTAATATTTTGGGTGATAGAATTTGGTTGGTAAACATTTTAATGATCTACATCAAATGTTTACTTTATCCCCTGCCTCCAGCCCCCTCTTGCTCCTACTGGCTGTTCCATCTCCATCTCTGTTCTTCAGGCCTCACTTCACACACCCAGAACCAACAATACTAAATCTCCCCATATATATAACCTCTCCATGGGGTGTACCACCAGCAGATAGTGGATGTGGCTCACATGACAAAATCCTACCAGTGGTTGGAAAAGGCAAAACTGAAAGACAACACTGAGACACTAATCCTAGCAGCACAGGAGCAGGCCCTCAGCACCAGATCAATAGAAGCTGGAGTCTACCACACCAGGCAAAACCCAAAGTGCAGACTGTGCAAAGAGGCCTCTGAGACAGTCCAGACAGTAAAACTAGTAGCTGGATGCATGATGTTAGCAGGAAACGCATACACTGAAACATCTGCACAGAATATGGATTGGACCTGCCTAAGTCCAGATGGGAGATACCACAAAAGGGGTAGCTGAGAATGACAAGACTAAGATCCTGTGGGACTTCAAGATACAGACAAGCAAGTTCTGGCAAACTAACCAGACATCATGGTGGTAGACAAGGAACGAAAGTCTGCAGGTGTGGTGGATGTGGCAATACCCAGTGACTATAACATCAGGAAGAGGGAACATGAGAAGGTGGTTGCTTCATCTAAGTGCTGCTTCTAAGTGAGTGGTTGGAGATATTATGGAGAGTTTTACAGAAGCTTCAACTGTCTGAGATTTGTGCTAAGAGTTTTCTTTTTTACTGTTACAGGTAAGATTCATCTGTAGGAAAAGGTTACAGATTGCACAAGGTTTGATTTCCTGTTGGTAATTATAAGGCATTTGATTTGATAAGTTAACTACTTGCTATTGGTTGCTGTTTAATTAGCTATTGTTTGCAAATAAGCAGAGGCCTACCCATGTGTTAAACATTCCTAGTGGGTGGTGATTTTAGGAGTTATATAAGGGTTGTTGTCATTAGCTTGGCTAATATAGCTTGGTTGCTTCATCTAAGTGCTGCTTCTAAGTGTGTAGTTGGAGATAACCTGGAGATAATCTGAGGTATACAGGAGGATAAATAAAAAGTTAAGATTCGTTTGATTTAAATTATTCACCTCATTGGAATGGCAGACTTAGTTCAGTGTAATAGTTACTATGCATTTGTTTCATGTTCCACTTTTTGGAGGTTTGGTTGTTGTCTAATCTGTAGACAGTTCTCTATCTTGCGGCAGGAGATTGTATTTTTGAAGTCTGAGATTTGTAAATTATCTGGTAAACAAACTCAGGCTGGAACTGCTGCAAAGCCACTGCCGCAGAGACATACTAGGAATGGCAGATGGATTACTGTAGGATCTGGTAGACTTAGAGTTGTGGATAAAAGGCATATTGCACAGTCTGTTGCTCTACAGAATTCATTTTCTGCACTTTCAGAGTGTAATGGTGTTATGGAGACAGGCACTGAGGGTAGTGGTGTTGTGGAGAGAGGCTCATGCACTGAGGCTAGTGGTGTTGTGGAGACAGGCTCAGGTACTGAGGGTAGTGGTGTTGTGGAGACAGGCTTGGAGACTATGGTGAGGCCTAATAGAAAGCAGTTGTTGTTGGGGGATTCCATCATAAGAGGTGTGGAGATGGACAATGGTGGTCTTGTGAGGTGTCTTCCCGGAGCTACTGCTCACAGAGACAGGAGACGTATCTGTAATATTGTTAAGCGAGCAAAGCAGGAAGGGGAATTGGATGCACTTGTCCATCTAGGGACAAATGACTTGGCTGCAATGAGGTTTCAGAGGTTAAATAAGTTTTTAGTGTTTTTGCCAATGATATACGGCAGGTTGCTTCCACACTGTCATTCTCTGAAGTTCTGCCTGTGCATAACACTCAGAACGACAGGCGGAAGCGTATTACGGACTTTAACTTGTGGCTTGGTGAATGGTGTCGGGAGCAAGGATTTGGCTTTTTTTCTCCTAGTAGCTCTTTTTGGAATGGAAATAAACTGTACAAAAAAGATGGTTTGCATCTTTCTCAAAAGGGAACAAATGTTCTCAGTGAGCAGTTCAGAGATTTTGCTAGGATGTATTTAAACTAGGAGGGGGGGTGGGGGGGCAAAAGGGTGATAAAACATCAATCCAAATTCTAAAATGACAATGAAGGGGGAAGTTATCATCATGGGTGACTTTAATCTTCCTGATGTGAATTGGAAAATAAAATAGCTGCTTGTGCCAGGAGCACACATACTCTAAACTCCCTACTGGGATTTTCTCTTCGTTGAGGAGCCAACTCGTAAAGAGGCCATACTAGATTTAGTGTTAACAAATGGAGATTTGGTATCAGATATTACTGTAGGTGAAAGTTTAGGATCCAGTGATCATCAGTCAGTGTGGTTTAATATAAGAACAGTGACTGAGTCACACCACAAAAAATCTAAAGTTTTAGACTTTAGAAAAACAGACTTTTCTAAAATTAGAATATGTGTAAAGGAGTCATTATCAGACTGGAGGGATTTAAATGGAGTCCAATAGAAATGGGATTTTTTAAAAGTTACACTACTGAAGGCAACAGAAAATTGCATTAGGCTTGTCAGTAAAAGCAAAAAATTCAAGAAACAACTGTGGTACTCCGCAGATGTGGCCAAATAGTAAAAAACTAAAAGTTAGCATTTAGTAATTATAAAAAAACCCAGAGTGAGGAAGACAGAATGATCTATAAGATTAGGCAGAAAGAGGCTAAGCAAGTTATGAGAGCTCCCAAATCACACACAGAAGAGAAAATAGCACAGTCCGTAAAAAAGGGGGACAAAACTTTTTTTAGATACATAAATGAGAAAAGAAAAGTAAAACAAGGATTAGTTAGATTAAAAACAAAAGAAGGAAGGTATGTAGAAGATAATAAAGGTCTAGCTGACTGCCTCAATGAATATTTTTGTTCAGTATTTACAGATGAAAATGAAGGAAAGGGACCTCAGTTAAGAAAAAGGATAAATGAGTAATTTATTACACGTGAGTTTACAGAGGAAGAGATCCTATTTCAACTGTCAAAAGTAAAGACAAATAAGCCAATGGTACCTGATGGAATACACCCAAAGCTATTAAGAGTTTAGTGGTGTACTAGCAAAACCATTAACAGATTTATTTAACCAATCATTGTTAACAGGAGTAGTCCCAGAAGATTGGAAGTTAGCGAATGTTGTGCCCATTTACAAGAAAGGTAATAGGGAGGAGTCGGGCAACTATAGGCCAGTAAGCCTTACTTCAGTAGTGGGGAAAGTGATGGAAACCATGTTAAAGGATAGGATTGTTGAACATCTAAAAACACATGGATTTCAAGATCAGAGACAACATGGGTTTACTCTTATTTATTGATTTTTTTGATTGAGTAACTAAAATTATAGATCAGGGTGGTGCAGTAGACATTGCTTACCTAGATTTCAGTAAGGCTTTTGACACTGTTGCACATAGAAGGCTTATCAATAAACTGCAATCTTTAAGTTTGGATTCCAATATTGTTGGTTGGGTAAGGCAGTGGCTGAGTGACAGGCAACAGAGGGTTGTAGTCAATGGAGTATATTCGAAGCTTGGACTTGTCACCAGTGGGTACCTCAGGGATCTGTACTTGGACCCATTCTCTTTAATATTTTTATTAGTGATATTGCAGAAGGTCTTGATGGTAAGGTATGTCTTTTTGCTGATGATACCAAGATATGTAACAGGGTTGATGTTCCAGGAGGGATAAGCCAAATGGCAAATGATTTAGGTAAACTAGAAAAATGGTCAGAGTTGTGGCAACTGACATTTAATGTTGATAAGTGCAAGATAATGCATCTTGGATGGAAAAACCCAAGGGCAGAGTACAGAATATTTGATAGAGTCCTAACCTCAACATATGAGGAAAGGGATTTAGGGGTGATTATTTCTGATGACTTAAAAGTAGGCAGACAATGTAATTGAGCAGCAGGAAATGCTAGCAGAATGCTTGGTTGTATAGGGAGAGGTATTAGCAGCAGAAAGAGGGAAGTGCTCATGCCATTGTACAGAACACTGGTGAGACCTCACTTGGAGTATTGTACACAGTACTGGAGACCGTATCTTCAGAAGGATATTGATACCTTAGAGAGGGTTCAGAGAAGGGCTACTAAACTGATTCATGGATTGTGGGATAAAACTTACCAGGAAAGGTTAAAGGATCTTAACATGTATAGCTTGGAGGAAAGACGAGACAGGGGGGATATGATAGAAACATTTAAATACATAAAGGGAATCAACACAGTAAAGGAGGAGACTATATTTAAAAGAAGAAAAACTACCACAACAAGAGGACATAGTCTTAAATTAGAGGGACAAAGGTTTAAAAATATCAGGAAGTATTACTTTACTGAGAGGGTAGTGGATGCATGGAATAGCCTTCCAGCTGAAGTGGTAGATGTTAACACAGTAAAAGAGTTTAAGCATGCGTGGGATAGGCATAAGGCTATCCTAACTATAAGATAAGGCCAGGGACTAATAAGTATTTAGAAAATTGGGCAGACTAGATGGGTCGAATGGTTCTTATCTGACGTCACATTCTATGTTTCTATGGACAAATACCAAGGACTGAAAGAAGAATTGAAAGGATGTGGAAAGTGAAGGCACTAGTAGTCCTAGTTGTGATAGGAGCACTCGGGGCTGTGACTCCGAAGTTGGGGGAGTGGTTTCAACAGATTCCAGGTGGGACATCTGAGATCGCTGTCCAGAAGAGTGCAGTTCTAGGAACAGCTAAGATACTGCGAGAACCCTCAAACTCCCAGCCCTTTGGTAGAGGACCCGAGAATGAGGAATAAACATACTACCCAGGAAGGGCTAGAAAATCAGTTATTTAATTTTATTATAATCAGCTGTTTGAGAGTCTCTCTCAATTACTTCCTCATTTTCTTTATATTTTACCAATAGCTGCAACTCTCAGCATAGACAAAAAGCATAAGACAAAGCACTAACACTAAATCCACTGCTGCCGATATGGGAGGTTACCATTGTGAGAGCTCAATATGTTTTAGATTGTTGGCTGTATCAGTAAGAAAATAATTTTAATTTGGAAATCTGTGTGTCTTTACAGTCTTCAGAAAGGGATGATGTTTTTGAGGATACATAAAACTGTGCTAGGTATTGATTTTGCACACTCATTGAAAAACACCTGATCTCAAATAGGCCATTCAGGCCAAAACAAACTTAAAGTAAATTACTAATGTCCCATATGTAACCTTGTGCATTCAGATTTGGCCAAATTGTGATTTGGCCAAAATCTATATCTTTGAAGCGCCATATGGACATATATACTAGCAAATGAGTAACACCAACGTAAAAATCCATGAGTTGTTCTCATGGTGCCAAAAAAAGAGAAGATTATTGGGGGGGAAATAGTTGATGGCTATGTGACAGCCACTAAATGTGTATCTTATTCATAGATCAAATGACAAGTAACCAACATATACTTATATTACCAAAATATATATATATATTTGATATTTTAAATATATAGAGAGTATTTACTCCTTCTCTATTTCCCTCTATTAGTTACTTTTTCTCACTTTTTCTGTAAATACCGGTATTATATTTATTATTTATATTATGTATATACTTTGCAGTGCACTGATTGTCCCATTTGTGCCCTTTTTGGTTTGTCTGAATGTTTCCCAGAATAGCTTTTCATGAACAACGTTCGGCCAAACTGAACGTCACAACTTTTATTTTCTGAAAAACTATTTGGTCAAACCGAACAAACCCACAGTGCACAAATCTAGTGGCCAATATTATCTAACAAAATCTTCACTACCCATAGAGGCTTATAGCCTATCTATGACACATTCACATCAGGTTTTAAGACCAAAACTTAGAAGTGAAATAGTGCTGGAAAATATTAAAGATGAAGATTTAATTATTTTAGACATGTTTGTGGAATTTTGCACAGCTGACAATCCATGTGTGGAGATCTGATTTAAAAGACCCAATATGATATTGTTCAGATCAAAAATGCAAGTTCTTTTGCAAGGAATTAAAACATATATACATTATCATGCACATTATTATTTCAATCCAATATATTCACAGATCAAAAATGTGCTTTGCCATAGTACGGTTATAACATAGCTAGAATATGAGTCTAATATATTAACTACTATTATTACTATTACTAATATATTCATTACTATTTTACAGTTTCTAATTTTAAAATGGAAAAAATATATATATTTCTACAAGAGGACATTTTTTTTAATCTAGAAATTATGTCTTGGCCTAAATATTGATTCAACTAAGGCACGATATGAAAAGAAAATATTGAAACCTTTCAGCGATATTTCTAGCCTTTAATTTGAGTACATGACCACATTTCAGCTAATGATTTTATGTAGGCATCATCTTCAAATACAATTTTCAAGGTTCCATCAATGTTCCTATTCTCCCATTATTATACATCTATCACTGATGGATTATAATGAAAGCATATGAGCAGAGGAGGTAATATTTAGTGCCAGAAGCCCTACAATGCTTTTCTGGATACATAATTATAGTAAAATACCTCCATTTATTCTACCATATTAAAATGTTACTTTAACCAGCTTGTATATTCAGTAAATGAGAACTGGTTGAAAATGAATAAATCCTGTATACACTTCACTTAGCTCTAGAAACTGTCTGACATGCTGAAAAAAATATTTTACTACCAAGCCTCCGATATGTCCAATCTGTCATCATCTGAGCACATACAAAATAGAGAATCCAGCGCACTCGCTTATTCACTAAACAATGATTTCAAATCTCACAGATTGTAATAGTTTTATTTAAAAACACCTCACCTAGGCTGCTGGGGCCAATATATACAACATACAAAAAAAACATAGCATTGGCCCCAGCAGCACTCTATAATGTATGCATGTTCAGGTGAGTGCAGCCCTCTTGGTTTCAGTCATCTGAGCACATAACATAGACTTCAAGGCAGCCCGGGCAGAGAGATTGATGGTTTTGAAGACATTGGGTACAATACAGGTATGATTTACTATCTGCAATGCATTAGGCAGTGCATATGTTTTATATAACTATTGTTATAGATATATACTCTAATTATAATTATAATAGAGTTTGATTTCCAAGGCTAGCTTATGGTAAAGGTGAGTTTATGTTGCAAAAAAATTGGCCTTCTTTTTCTGGACCTCTCTTGATTTTTAACCCAGTTTACAGTCCAACCAAACATACCAAGAATGACCCTCTGTACCAATATCAAAGTACATCCCCAGACAACAGTAGGTGAGATCTGTCCAGGAGAATAACTGAATACTGTCATAAACTTCGTAAACATAGACAACAGGGTTCAGACAGCTTCGGCCCTAACAGTGGCACAGAGAAAGTTGTGACGTGCCATTCTGTGGACAACACTGACACCTACAGATAACTGGTACATATCCTGGATTTTGCCTACCAAAGAGTAAATGGACAAACACAATTATAATTTGATTGGCTGTGAAAAAAAAGTTCAAGAACAGAGGAGAATATCAAGATAACAGGGACTCTACCCTTCTCGTTATTCACACATACAGCCATTAACATAGCCTTGTATGTCAGACATGTTTTTTAGCACCCACATTCATATACTCTATTGTTTAATAATTATATTATAGTTTAACTCATTAGATTACAAGAGGAATGGAAATATGCAGAAACACTTGACAAAGTCATTGATCCCAGCATTTAGGGGTCTTCTTACAACTATATTTAAAGCAATTGCAACAATGGTATTTTTTTTTATAAAGCAACATTTCTCCTATGGTTACCATGTTCCGTAAAATTACCCATAAGCAGGGTAATTTGAACCATTTATGTTTATCAATATTTTTCACATCTGCAGACCATGATTAAAAAGTGATGTCTTTTCTTCTATTCTTAAATTGCCTGTCTGAAACTTTACAAGCTAAGTGATACCGTTGTTTACTTATTTAAGCTAATCACCAAAACTTTTTCTCTCTCCAATACTTAAAAAAATGAACATTGTATATTATGGGCTGGGAACATTGAGTTCTGGGGTAACTATTTGTATGTGGGTTTCTCAGAACAACCCCTGAGAATGTTGACATATGGGGGTATGTTTGAGTTTGGATGGGGGGCCATGGCAATTTCACTTTCAATGCTGCCCTGTCTCCTCTTATGTCCAAGTCACCCACCCTGTGCGTATTGGAGGCACAGGGTGACAGGGGAAATTCAAGCTGGTCTGCTCAGACCAGATTTACACAGATTAAGCAGTCAGAAGAACTATATGCAGCCAAGAGGGAACCATGTGCCTGACTGGGACAAACCTAAGAACTGTGACACAACATGCTAAAACTTTAA